TATTAAAAATAAAAAAATAAAAAATTAAGATTTTATATAAATATAATATATAAAATTTGTGTGTAAATAATTTATTTACCTTTTAAATATTATTATAAATTAATAATAATATTTGAGTTAAAAATATTGTTTTTTATCTTAAAATAATTATCATTTTTTATTTTAACTTTATTCTCAATTAATTCTTGTTTTTTATTTTTTCATGATAAATAAATATTTTTTTTCTAAATCTTTAATTTAAAAAAAAAAAAAAGCGATAGTGGTTAGTAGGGAGTATTATAAAAACAGCGGTGAAAACTAAAACCGCGTGAAAAATGCTGGGAGCAGGGCAGTAACAGTAAGTCCAACAGTGCACCACGTGTTTGTTACTTACTACTTCAGATCAACGGATCCCCTTTCTTTTTTTTCCTTTTTTCCTTTTTTTTTTTTAATTTTTAAAATTTTTTTTTTAATTTTTAAAAATGTTGCCGACGGCGACTCCTCCTCACCTTCCAACCAAATTAACCATGGTTACTTTCTAACCCAACTACGGTCCACTTAAATTTTGCAGTTGCACAAAGGCACCAAGCAAACCTCATTCCCTCACCTCCTTCCCTCTGCTCCCAACAAAGAAGAAAAAAAAAGGAAAAGAAAAGAAAAGAAAAGAAAAGCGCTGCTCCTTTCTTCATCACTTCGTTTCTCTAATTTAATTCATCGTTTGTTTTCTGGGAAAATTTATTCCTTAACTTTTCCTGGAAAGGAAAATCATTTGACAGTGTCGGAGAGTTTTGAGACTTCCCACTTTTCCTGGCTATATTGTCTATGATCCCAATTTGGGTGCTCTAACTGGTGTGTATTGTTTATCTTTGATTTGTTGTTCCTTTTGGCTTTTATTTTGGTTCATTTTTTTATGGGTTTTCTTTGTAACTTAGATTCTTAGTCGGTGAGATCTGAAAATCGTAGGCATGGTTGCTTGTAAGAGAAATCTTGTGGGTTTTGTTGTTTGGTTGAGGGGTTTTTGAATTTGATTCTGGGAATGAATTTGGGGATTTTCGGTTTTTAGTATTGGGATTGGATCTGGGGTTTGGATATTTTTTTTTTGTTTTGAATTTTGTGGGTAGTTCTGTTTAGGGGTTTTAGGTATGAAAATTGAATTTGGGATGGGAGCTGGGGTGTGGAATGATGAAGAAAAGGCCATGGTTGCTGCTGTTTTGGGCACAAAAGCATTCGATTATTTGATGTCGAACTCGGTCTCCAATGAGAACCTGTTAATGACTATTGGCAGTGATGAGAATCTCCAGAACAAGCTCTCAGATCTCGTGGACAGGCCGAACGCCGCAAATTTCAGCTGGAACTACGCGATATTTTGGCAAATATCGCGGTCCAAATCCGGTGATATGGTTCTTGGTTGGGGAGATGGTTCTTGTAGAGAACCGAGGGAGGGAGAGGAACCAGAAGCCATGAAGATTCTCAATCTTCGTCTTGAGGATGATGTCCAACAGAAGTGGAGGAAAAGGGTTTTGCAGAAACTGCACGTGGTGTTTGGTGGGTCAGATGAAGATAATTATGCTCTTGGATTGGATAGAGTTACTGATACAGAGATGTTCTTCTTAGCATCCATGTATTTCTCATTTCCACGAGGAGAAGGAGGCCCTGGAAGGTGTTTTGCATCTCGGAAGCATGTTTGGATCTTGGATGCTCTGAGGGCTGGTTCTGGTTACTGTGTCCGGTCTTTTCTTGCAAAGTCTGCTGGGATTCAGACCATTGTGTTGGTTCCAACTGATGTTGGTGTTGTTGAGTTGGGGTCAGTGAGATATGTACCTGAAAGCTTAGAGTTGTTGCAGTCCATAAGGACCTCTTTTTCTTCCAATTCCGTGCTGCTCAGAACCAAGCCAATGCCAGCAGTTATTCCAGTAGTGAATGAGAAGAAAGATGAGAATACCCATTTTTCCAATTTGGGGATTGTGGAAAGAGTAGAAGGGATTCCAAAGATTTTTGGGCAGGATTTGAATAACACAGGTCGTAATCATTCCCATCATAGAGAGAAACTTGCCATTCGAAAGATGGAGGAGAGGCCAACATGGCAGGCATATGCTAATGGGGGTAGGCCGTCGTTTTCAAGCAATCAGAATGGCCTGCATGGTTCAAGTTGGGCACATGTTGGTGTGAAACAAGGAAACCCTATTGAGTTCTCTTCAAACAATGCTCAAGAGCTTGTTAGCGGGGTTACTGAAGAGTTTCATCTTAATCACTTTCAGGCCCAGAAGCCAGCTCAAATGCAGATTGATTTTTCAGGGGCTACTTCAAGGTTAGTTGCTCGGAGTGCTGACTCTGAGCATTCAGATGTTGAGGCTTCGTGCAAGGAAGAGAGGCCGTGTGCAGCTGATGAAAGGAGGCCTCGGAAACGAGGCAGAAAGCCTGCAAATGGAAGAGAAGAACCTCTCAATCACGTTGAAGCTGAGAGGCAGCGGCGTGAGAAGTTGAACCAACGTTTTTATGCATTACGAGCTGTGGTGCCCAACATATCCAAGATGGACAAAGCTTCCTTATTAGGTGATGCAATTTCCTATATAAATGACCTTCATGCAAGGCTCAAGGTTTTGGAAGCAGAGAGAGAGAAGTTTGGCAGCTCTTCAAGGGATTCGTCAGGTTTGGAGTCCAATCCATCTTTGGAGAGTCATAACTGGGCTGTTGATGTTGATATCCAAGCTGGACATAATGAGGTTATTGTAAGAGCTAGCTGCCCTTTAGATTCACACCCTGCATCAGGAGTCATTCAAGTGTTTAAAGAGGCAAGGGTTACTGTTGTTGATTCAAAGCTTGCTGCAGCAAATGATACTGTGTTCCATACATTTGTTATCAAATCTCAGGGCCCCGAACAGCTACAGCTAACTAAGGAAAAATTGACTGCAGCATTCTCACGCGAGTCAAATTCATTGTAGCCAATATCATCTGTCAGATAGAAGATAAATTGCAGTTGACGTAGTCCATAGGCGTAAAATTTTAGTGAAGAACCTGTTTTGGAAGCTTCTTCAGAGAATTTTGATATAGCACAAGGAACCGTTAAAAGGATCAGAGGAGCCTGCTATAAGCAGAAAAACAACTACTTATTAACCAAGTAGGGGAAGCAAAATTTTCTGTGATTGTTTATATTATACATAATTCTGTCATAATGAAGTATTTTTGCAAGATGAATTAGATTTGTACCTCCAATTCAACTCTATTATTGTTAGTTATACTGATTCTTTTAGTTCTTCCCTGCTTTGTTTCTCAGGTTTCTTTTATCCTTTGACTAAAGATTTGATTTTGTGCAATTCCATTTCCTTGTTTTTGCTCCCTTCCATGCCCATCTGCCTGTTACCTGAGTTGCATAAACATGATACATACATGTGTAGCAGAAACAACTTTAGTTTAATGAATCCAGTCATTTTGCAGTGGACTAGAAGGCTGTTGATTATTCTTTACTAGAAGGTACACAGTTGAAGGAAACAATCAATTGTTACATTTGGTGCCATATTCAAACTGTGAATTCCGGTTAACATCCTTATATGTGTTCTCTGCACTTTCCAATCTATTAGAAACAACGGTCATTTCTTTGTTTTCACCTCTGCACTTGCTTTTCTTTCACTTATGTCTCCCTTGTTGGTTCTGTAATTGCAATATTTCATTTTAACAGCACCAAAGTGATATGGTGTTTATATAGGGTAGAATGTCTTGTTTTTCTCAGTTGGAGATACAGCTGAGTTCTTTTATGACCCTCTTCATTGTGGTTCCCAGAAAGGAAGAGAAGATATGGTACTAAAAAGAACAATTTGGTTTCTTTCTGTTTAAAGTGAAACAGGCGAACACTGTAGATAAAGAGTCTTTGAGGTCTCTTTTTCTTTTTTAACATTGCCTTAGCAAACCCAATGGGGCTTCTTCAGAAGCACATCAAAAGAACAGATTCTGTTTCTCAAATTCCAATCCATCCATTCCTCTACTGTTTTCTTTCTATAAAGAGATTTGAGGCATGACCTGAGGAAAAGAACATAATATTTTTTTCCCTTAAGAGAAAAATGGGAACAAATTGAAGGAATAAATGATTATACATTATAGAAGCAGATACTTCAATTAACAACTATTGAACATACAAATTGAGTGGTCCATAGGCTACCCCCAATTTTTGAATGACTACAGTCATGTGGGACATGTGCCGTGCTTCAAGTTAGGTCGTTGAACATACTTGTTCCAAAAGCGTGACAGACCTATTCCATAACATGTGTTTTTCCTGATAACCAATAACCATAACCAGTCCTTGTCGGCCCTGCTGGGATATTCAATGCCTTTAAAAAAAAATAAAAATCTTGAATACTAAACTATATAATAATGAATAACTTTCCCACTTTTTATCATAATTAAGTTTTAAACCACTAAGATATCCTTCTAGCATTTTGACGTTGTAATATTAATTAACTTGTATAACAAGAAGACATAACTTCTATTATTATTATTTTTTCTTCTTTTTTTTTAATACGAAAATGATGGTCAGTTTTTTATCAGACCTGTCCCTCTGGCACAACACAAACATGCAATTGTACAAAGTGATTTTTCCAAATCTGAAAAGGATCAAGTGCTGAAACATATTGCTAAAACTAGGGGCCGCAACCCTGAGTGACGTGCTTTTTGCTACCTCCATCTCATGCTCTGCCCTACATTTCACATCTATGGCTCGTCTTTCCTTTATGGCTCTTTGAAGTTTCTTTCTCAATTTGCCTTTCGAGGTGTGGTTTTTGAAGCATGAAAATGGACTGAAAGTGAAATCATATCATGTGATGATTATTAGTCCACTTCAAACTTGGAGGTTGCCCAATTCACACCCTCGGCCCTACAATTTGAGCCTGTTTCCCATTGGATCCCTTCTCACATTCACTTACCGTACCTCACCTAAGCTTATTTGAAGTCTTAAAACCCGAGGTTAATTAATTTCAATTTTCAGCCAATAAATTTATATTAGATGGTTATTATTATTATTATAAAAAAGTTTAGTATCATCTAAAAACTTGTGTAATGACAATTGAATTAGACTTGGGATAGTAAAACGTTTTCAAATGAATTATGCTTATTTTGTTTATTTATAGTTTGTTCCGCACCATTGTCATAAAAAAAAAAAAAAATTGGTCTGTTGATGTTTTAATTTGTAACAACTTGAGACTTCAATATCAAAGTTTTATGTTTAAATTATAACGTGGGTGGAGAAGGATTTAAGTAGGTTAAATGTTAATTTTAGTTTTTAAACCTTAAATTTTGTGAAAAATATTAAGACGTTTTAATATTTATAATATTAAAATATTTAATAATAATTATATGATAAATTTAATAATATTAGAATTTATATTATATTTTATATATTAAATGATTGTAATTAAACATCTTAAAGTTTTATAATTTTTTCGTTTTCCAAATTTTGTACTTTTTTCCCCTAAACTGAATTAAACACATTTTATGACTTTTTCTTTTCCCAAATTTTGTATTTTTTTTCCTAAACTAATCTAAACACCGTTTTGTGACTTTTTCCTTTTCCAAAATTTGTACTTTCCCCCCTAACTAATCTAAACACGTTTTTCACTTTTTTTTTTTTTTAAATGGGTTTACATTTTTAGGGAGGGAGAATCTAAACACGTTTTTCACTTCTTTTTTTTTTTTTAATGAGTTTACATTTTTATGAAGGGAGAATTCAAACTTAACCCGTAAATAGGATGCATCTTATTACGAGATTTACAGTGATCGGCCTGTCAAACTCAAGTACCACGTTTTTCACCTTTTTTAACTCCTAGATGTCACAAGAGAGTATCATTCTTTGAAACAATTTGAGCACTGTTTTTTTTACCTTAAATATAGATTTTTATGATATCAAGGACCACATTAGGGTAAGGAGGAAAAAAAAGTACAAAGCATAAAGTTTAGTAATCAAAATTAGCATTTAAGTGGTGTCTTCTTTTTCAAAATTTCATGTTTTTATTTGTATTGAAACATGAGTGATTTTCTACAAATCATAATCAAGTTGCCATTCACTAATTGTAATGTCTTGATTTGGCGTTAAGAACTAAAATTCGAACCGCAGTATTAACCCGAGCTAAATTCTCAGTACTGATAATGTAATAAATAAGAAAGATTTATTTTGAACACACTTCAATTTTTATTGACAAATTTGACAACAATATTGCTGCTGCAACAAAATCATATCTGCTTCTATTTCTGTGACCTGGTATTTAAGTGTATGTTCTACAATTACACCTATTGGGAAGGAACAAATCTCACTGATTACAAAGGCCCTATTCATGCTGCAAGCAGCCACAAAAAATAGAAAAAATTGTTGCCTAATAGACGTTTTGAAGAAACATGATCCTGTACTACTAAGAATTTTGCCGAGTTAGTATCTACTAACATAAAAACCTTAATTTGGGGTCAAAATCAAA